ATGTGTGGGACCAATCTTTTTAGGTCCCGGTCCCGGTCATCTCTAATATCGTCCTAGAGACAGTTAATCCAAAACTATTCAGTGAATTTCTAAAATAATTTTTCAATATTCGTTTTCAAATTTGTTTAGTGAACGATTAGCACTTTTTTGTTTCATTTTTCTTGAATAAGGTTAACATAGTAAAGGTCATTATATAGCCTCAGATTCAAGTGATGGTCCCGCAAATGTCTACGCCGGACCCTAGTGATGATCATATTTCTCAATTCAATCTTCTCCACTTTTTCACATCTAGAATCTTGACATAATCTTTCGCGAATAATAGTATTTATATTTGATTAACTGTTGATACGCAATCTTTTTATAGGCAGATGAATATAATACTGTCATTTTTCAATGACATGAGATAGAAATAGAAGGACATAAGTAAGAAAGATATCATCTGTCTTAAATTAATATATACGATTAGGATTTAAATATAGATGATGAATATTGTTTTTTTTTGTAGTTTCGGGATCGACATGAACAAGTACAACATGATCTTGAACAAGCCAATAAAGATCGTGACGCTTTGACTACTAAACTTAAACATGCTCATGATCGTTCGTGATCTATTTTATTATTATTTTTGTTTATTTCATATTTTGATATTTATTTAGAATTACATGAATCAGAACGGCAAGTAAAAGAATTACGTAAAAAAGTTGAAGAAGAACGTGCTATGAAACAATCTGTAATTATTTTTCGAAGTTTTTGAACAAAAATATTTAAAATTAAATATCTATTTAGTTGGTTGAAAAATTACTCCAAGTTGCAACAAATCCATTAGTTAAAAAACCATTCCTTTCTCAAACAGCAGGTGGTAGTAATCGTCGACTCGATCGTAATGAACGTAATGCTGTACGACGTCTTGAACAAGAATTAGAAGTGGTATGATTCAAATTCAAATTCTATATATACATACATACATGTAAATTTATATAGGAACGTTCGAAATATAAAAATTTACAAAATGAAAAAGACGAAGATGTATCAGCATTAACTGAAGATATCAATAAATTAAAACGTGAATTAGATTCACGACAAGAAGATATTGAGAGATTGAAACAACAACTTGACTCACGCAGTTCAATTGATAATATCTCTACGATTACCGAAGAAACAGACGAAGATACAAAAGGTTATTTTGATTAATTAAAATTGATGAAAAAAAAAACGATTTATTTTTATAAATTATTTAGAAAGTTGGGTACAAATTCCAAAAAAAAGTAATATTCAAAAGAATGGATGGAAAAAACAACTTGCAGTTATGACAAAAAATAAATTACTTTTATTCAATTCGGAAAGAGATCAACAAGCTGCACTATCAATTGATATCGAGTAAATAATACTATTTGTAACAGATCAAAATTCGCGAGGAAAGACGTCATAATTCAGTTAAGATATAATGTCATCTATAAATAGGATAGGAAATATGACTGCTGAGAGAACCACCCGTGATGTTAATCACCGTTTTGGCTAATATTATGTCCATAAGTAGATTTATAACAGTAGGTCTTGGAAGTTGAATTATGACCATTTAACTCAATTCGTCATATTCTCTTATACAAAGATTTATGTTCTATATTTTTTATTCTAGTAAATTATATCATGTTCGTGCTGTAAATCAAGGTAAAATTATCATCGAATGAAAAGCAATATTTTTACTTCTATTTCTATATCTAGGCGATGTAATTCATGCTAATCCAAATGAAATCCCAAAAATATTTCAAATTATTTATGATAGTCAACTTCATACACTACCAAATTTAGTTTCTGCTACAGGAATACATTCTCTGGTATATTTAAATATATTAATCTTATTAATGAAATATATGTTTTTTTGTTTAGGAACAAGATCATCCTAATGGAGAATTTATTGAATATAAAGGTCATCATTTTGTTTTTGTCACCTATCGTATGAGAACTGAATGTGAAGTGTGTAATCATCCATGTTATCATTTACTATCTCCTCCACCATGTCTTCAATGTACACGATGTCGAGTTCGTTGTCATAAACAACATTATGATGATGGAGAATTTATTCCACCATGTCGAGGTAATAATACTAAAAAAACGAATAATAACATTAATGATTTATATTTTAGTTTATGATACATTAACTGTCAAAGAATTATTAGTTATGTGTCCTAGTGATAAAGAACAAAGACATTGGATTGCTAAATTAAGTAAAAAAATACCACGTCCTGCATTTGATTCAACTAGGTATAAAAACAATTATAATTTCATATTATTTAGTCGATAGTACCTAGCGAAAATATTCCTTCATACATATAAGTACAAATTTTATCAATAGATCTTGAAACGCTATCAACATTAGAATAATCGTCAAAATCTATAATTAAATAGGCAATCATGCGTTTTAAGAATTTAAGTTATCAGTAGATAATAACAGCTAATGTCAAGTCGTCTCTATTAGATCGAGTAGGGTACTCGAAAAGACAAGAAGCGAGTCCGATGTTTTGATTAAATCTATATTTAATTCATTGATTCAACAAACAAAGATAAATTTTCTTCGCTGTCAGAATCAATTAGATTTAAGAACTCATTACTGTCAAAATAATTTCTTCATTTAAAACGTTGTTATTACCATTTTTAAGAAAAAGCAAAAGATATCCTCTTTTGCAAAAATCAGCGACCATATCTCCTCGAATTCGTGAATATCAGTGAGTGTGTGTATTTATCATTTCACATGATAACATTTTTTACGTATATCTTCAGTTCTACTGATGATGATCCGTGGTATTAATAATTCGACGTATGTTTTGCTCATTCTTCTGTTCTCAATAAATTTAAGATGCTAATAATTGCTCTATTTATCATGCTTTTCATTTAAGTTTTTTGAATTCGAAAAAAATAAAATTATTAATTTAGATCACGTACGACATCAATTCATTCACCTACTCCAAGTGTTAATTCATCTACTTCAAATCTATTTTCTAATATTTCTGGTCAATCATCAAAAGACAAATCATCTACACTTCCACCTCGTGCTAAATGAACAAAATGTTTTTTTTTTATTTATAGTATTTTCTTATCCGGTCCTTTTCATTGTACAGATTTTCATTAAAATCATATGCATATGTGTGAATGTGTTTAATTCTTTCTTATTTCTTCTTCTTATTTGGTGCTATATGCTTTTTTTTCTTTTGTACTATTTTTCTATAATAATTTCGTTTGAAAACAGAACGAAATAGTTTTTGTATGTTCGTTGCCATTTATTTCCTTTTTATTATAAGACGAATATATTATATTTCGCCATAATGTCTTTTTTTTGTTCGTTGTGTACGCTATTGTACGACGAAAAACCTTGTGTGTGTATTAGTCGAAGGATATAAAAATAAATGAAAAAATTTAGAAATTTATTTAAATTGTTTAGGGCTAAAAAAGAATTAAGATTAGAAAGTAATTAATTCTTTTTCGATGTTATAGAGATGGTTTAAAATGCTAAATTGATTTTCTCGATACTAGTTGTAGTTAATAGCACACGAAATTGTTTCCCAGTAATATTATATATTTGTTTTTAACGAAAGATGTAAGACAACTGATACTATTCTTTAATAATAAATCAACAGAAAAAGTTTTATATTACTTTTTTTTTCTTTTCTTCTAATCATAAATAGATTTGCGTGATTATAAAAACGATATAAGGATATATATATATATGATTATATTAATCTAGAAAACAAAAACAGAAGACGCCTACATCTCTCTATATTTAAACATGAAATGCTGCGAATGATAATTTACGTCTTAAAATTTCACCTAATTTATTAAGCGGAAAAGGATTTTTCTTCTTAAGAGGAAAAGTAAATTACTACAGATTTATCTGAAATAAACGACGGAATTATACATTGTTTACACATGATGTCACAAATCTATTTCCTAGTTCTACTTTCACATTTTCTAAATAACCCAATAAATTACAATGCGTCAGATGAATTATTTACCAAGGCCGATTGCAAAATAACCTAGACATATTTTTTTGTTATCAAGTATGCTATTGAATACTTATAAGTTGCCAGTTTATTTTTAAAACTAATATTAGATGACTTATATCTGATTTTTATTCATTATTTGTTATTGAAGGTAAGTACAGAAAATGTGACATATATATACATAAGTACACACATATAATATTATTGATTTTAATCGTATATGTCCTCGCAACACTATATATTATAGATATATATAGTGTTCTTTTTCATCCTAATTGAATCACTTTTTGTATATAGACACTATTTGTAGCATCTCTAATCCTTTTTTCACACTTAACAAATGTGAGAAAGTGGTCCCTATGCTTAAGGGCTTTCTTTCTTCGTGTCATTTTATCATTATAGTAGGAGAAAAAAAGAATAAGTCATAACTATTTAAAACATCTGTTGTCTGTCTGATTTTTACTACTATCAAGTCAAATGTACTAGTCATCAAAACCATATGTGTCATAGAATGACTTATTCATCAAAAGAAAAAAGAGAGAGGAAATTAAGCTATAATTCAATTACTTCTTCTCTTTTTTGTTATTTCGAATAGAATATGACTAACTTAAATATACATATTTCTTTTGCAAAACAAATATTTGATAATATACATTTTCATTTTTTTCTTGTTATTTTAAACATTATACTAAAATATGTATATGTATCTGTAGTAATTATTCGTTTACTTTTATGGTCATCATTTTACATCTGTTTGTCTTTACCTTATAGAAAAAATAGGGTCATGTAACGAATGGACTAACTATTCTTTTTCTCATGTCTGAGAGAGACTACGCAATAAATTCTTGTCATATGATTATCATCATTATCATCAGAATATACTTTGTCAAATGCGTAATATTATACATGATCGTTACTGATCAACTGATATATAAACAATCAACCACGTGTTTATATGTCTCTCAATTTATCTTTTTTTCTCATGTGCACCACAAGAGATATATCGACAAAATTCCAGCGAATAGTCTTATGACGCCGAGCAATAGCAAATCGTTGAGCGGGCATCATTTTGCCCGGGTAAAAAGAAGAAAAAAAGAACGAGAAGAGAAAGAAAAAAAAAAGAAGAACAGAGTACATCACGACTGACGCCGATATATAAATGGCAAGCGCACTGTTCTATTTAGCTTTTATTTCTATCGTGCGCGCGCACGGCGACTAACGAAAGTGTGTGTGTGTTGTTGTGAGTGAGTGAAAGAAAAAAAAAAAGAAGATCGTCCATCAGTTAACAAATATTTGATGGGACTAAATTTATACAATACGAAAACTTCATTCATTTGTTATTCAAAGTAATTTAATAAAAGAACTAGAAAAATGGACGCCATGTTCACATTCGTAAGTTATATTTTATTTTACTTTTATCATGAGAGACAGAAAGAGATTAGTAAGCTGTCATAAAACAATCACAATGGTCAGCTATAAGCTTTTCGATCCATATGAACTTTGAAGGATCAGACTGGATTGCATACGTATATATATATATATTTGTATTTTAGAGTGAAGAAGAATTGAATGCTATTGCTGTTCATTCACATGACGATTCATCGAATAGTAGTCCGTCAACATCAACAATGTTGACACCAACAGCAATTGAAAATGTAGGACGAACACAAATAAAACGGCCAACATCATTAAATGTATCAAAAACAGCAGGTAGATTAGAAAAGAAAAAAATAAATTTAATGGACTTTTTTTTCATGTTTATTATTATTTAGACCTTGTTTTACGTGATTCAACAAATGCCGGATGTAAATCGGAAGGTTCGCCAATAAATAGCGTGCAAAAAAGACAACACAAAAAGAAAAAACGTCGAACAGCTAATTCATATTCAGATATATCATTCAATGATAAATATAAATTAACTGAAGAATTACTTGGAACCGGTGCACACGGGTAAGAAATTATTTTAAGAAACAAAATTAATATTCTTCTCCTTTTATTTCGATTTAATAGAGTTGTCAAAACGTGTCGCGATCGAGTAACAAAACAAGAATATGCCGTTAAGGTATGTTGAAAATTTCTATCTTTATTAGATTTATGTATTTTTATCTATATAGAACACAAGGGTATACATTTTAGTTTACAGAATAGTATAGGAACAGAACGAGCGACCCCGGACATAAATCTGTAGTGACATGGAAGAGAAAGGAAAAAAAATAATAATTCTTTCTCTAGAGGAGAAGAAGAAGAAGAAGAAAAGGCAATATTGACAGCTAAAAGAAAATATTTGAAGAATCAATGAATAAATATCTGTGAATATATATTAATTTTTGTTTTCCATTTAGATAATTAGTAAAGCTCGTCATCCAAATCGAACACGTGTATTTAAAGAAATTGATATCTATTACCATTGTCGTGGTTGTGAAAATATTCTAAGCATTATTGATTTTCTTGAGGATGATGATTATTTTTATCTTGTCTTTCAAAAAAATGGAAGGCGGTAAGTTTTCTTCCTTATCTTAATTAATAAACAAAAGAAGAAGAAAAAAAATGTTCTTATCAATTTTTTTTTGTTTCATATATTTTTAGGGCCATTACTCAATCATATAATGAAACGTGGTCGGTTGACTGAACGTGAAGCTAGTTTAATCGTACGAGATATTGCTAATGGTCTTAATTTTCTTCATTCAAAGGGCATGTCTCATAGGTTTGTATATCAATAATAAATATATATTTTTTATGATATGTTAATATATGACTTTTTTTCTTCTTCTTCTCTTGTTCAGAGATTTGAAACCGGAAAATATCTTAGTCGAACGTGCCGATAGTTTAATACCAATAAAATTATGTGATTTTGATTTGGGCTCAGCTATTCGCCTTAATAGTAATAAAACAACCCCAATAACAACACCGGAATTATCAACACCAGTTGGTTCTGTTGAATTTATGGCACCTGAAGTTGTTGATGCATGGAGAAGTCTTGAAGGTTCATTACAAATGTATGATAAACGTTGTGATTTGTGGTCACTTGGTGTTATTATTTATATAATGTTATCTGGTTATCCACCATTTTATGGTACATGTGGACATACATGCGGTTGGACAAAAGGTGAAGAATGTGAACAATGTCAAAGTCTATTATTTGAACGTATTCAAGATGGAGAATTTGATTTTCCTGATAAAGATTGGCAATATATATCTGATGGTGCAAAAGATTTAATCAAACATTTATTAGTTCGTGATGCTTCTTTACGTTTAACGGCTGCTGAAGTTCTTGAACATTGTTGGGTTAAAAATAGTCATGAATTAAATGAACGACCTTTAAATACACCAGAACTTTTACAACGGTAAGAATAAAAATTATTCTCATTATTATTACTATTATTGTTTATTTTTAGTCATGATAGTATTCGTCGTTTAGAATCTTTTACAAAAGATGTATTAAGTATAACAAAAATGATTGATGAACGTGAACGTATGGTGTTTCATCGATCTCGTAGTATTGATAGTATACATGATAGAAGTCGACGAACATCATATGATCCTCATCCTCATCTTCATTATCAAAATAATAATAGTGATGACGATTATGCTGATGATGATGATGATTTCAATGAATCAGATTCAAGTGTTACAAGAATATTAAAACGACGTGTAAGAAAGACAAAAAAAACAAAAAAATAACAATCAATCAAATAATGATCATGATGATAATCAAAATTTTGACAGTTTACGACGAAGATTATCAAGGTAAATAGAGTGAATGATTTATTTTTCATATCTATAAATTACTTATGAGAAAATATTTAACTTTAAAAGAAAAATCTATAAATAATGTAGTGATAATTTCTTAGAGAATTTTTAATGGAAGTTAAAAATAGAAAAAAATAAATAAATATCCTTTTCTTTTTCCTTTTAGTGCTACGATGACGTCGGGTGATGAAGATGATTATTTAGCCTGTAGTTTTAAAACAGTTATACATTGTCCTACAAAATCATCAGCAGTAGTCAAGCAACAACAACCAATACTACCACCACCACCCCCACATTTTTATTTGGCTTCAAATGACAATCCATCTCAAACAAGCACACCATCGGAAATATTAGCACTTACACCATCACCATTAATTCCAGTTTCACCAGTCCCGCTACCTGTTCTTGTGCTTCCATCACCACCTGTTAATTTACCAATACATCATCGAGCTCATACCGAAACTGATCTTCATTTTTACAATCAACAACCTTATATTTATCCTGTTCGTTTGTATCCATCTCCCGGATTTATTTATCCAAGTCAAAGTACTCCACCTGCAAATTTTGTCTATGGTCCACCATTACCTCCATTTGTCATGCATCCAATCCCTGCTCACCAACAAGTTCGAAGTTCATCAGCTGATTGTCGTCGTACGGCAAACAATGGTAATGAACATCGTGTTATACATCCTGAACGAGTTTGGTAGGAATAGAAAAAAAAAATCTTTTGTCAAAGTGTCTTTTGTTTATTTGTTTTACTTTTATATACTTTTTTCCTTTTGCCCTATACTAAAAGAACTCTTTTTTTTGTTATATATACCTATATATATATATAACAAAACATTATATATCTTGAGTAGGGTAGGTTATTTATCTTACCCAGTGATTATTTTTCCTCTCCTTCTTTTCTTTTCCGTTCTACGCATTATTTCGATCTGACTTTCAGTATTGTTATTATTCTACTTCATGTTTTTTCTTTCTCTTTTTCATTTTGTGAACATCAGGGTAGTCGTGATGCGTTTTACGCAGTTAAGAGGTTGGGTTGTACACTTGAAAAACGGAGGTGAATTATTGTAAATTTTGAGCCGTTAAGTCTCAAATTCAAACCATTTCTTCGATGTGTCTCTCATTCATTCTGTCATGCGCACTCCGACAATATATATTTGTTATAGTCTTGTTCCATATCTATTGTATATATTTCAAACATTTCTTTGTTCGTTGCCATTTTTGTGCCATTTCTTGTTCTTCCTCAAAGCATCAAAATGTAGTTAGGCAGCGTTGATATGATATTTTCATTATGTATATATCTATATATATGTATCTGGATTTTTGCGAAGCATCACACATTCATATAACTTGTGAATATATACTCCTTTCTTTTTTGTTTTCACCTATACCGGTCTTTTGATCTTCTTTTGTTATAAACTTGTATTGATGTTTCTTCGTTCTTTTTTCTCTTTGTTTCTCTCTTTCTCTCTCTCTCTCTTGTGTCTGGGATGAAATTCAAACAAACAGACATGTTTTGTGCGTAATGATGACCAAAGGCCATGTGCGGCACTACGTGTAATTTGTTGTCACTTTGTCTTTTTTTTCTCTTTTTTTTTTTGTCTTCTTTACGCCTCTATTCTTTTTTTTTGTACGTAGACTATTCGAGTTATTTGATGTATAACATACGAGATGTCTTGAATAAGAGAAAAGAATTTATTGTAGTGAGACAGATGAGTATATGGGATTATTATTATTATTATTATTTAGTATAAGTTAAGATTTAAGAAAAAAATAAAGAAAGAAATATAGGATCAACCAAAAAAAAAAACAACTTTTCTCTAATGGGCGTTTTTTTTATTATTCACAAGAAATCGTATTGTCGGAAGATTGATATCATGTGCTTACCTATGTATTAATAGAACATGGTGCAATTACAAAACAAGCAAAATGTTCGTAAAATCACATGCTTATATGATAAGAGGGGTCATAAGTGTATTGCATCGATAGAATGAAAAAGATATAAAGGGTATTGGTTATATTACGTTATATCTTATAAGATAAATGTATATGAGAAAAAGGGGTAGTTCGGTATTTGATGATTCTTTTTTTATGTTTCAAGAGAGCAATCGAGACGTAATACAGAAGAGTTTGTATCGTATGTTATAGTCAATACTCTCGTTGATTTACTGTTCGGAGTTGGTAATAAATCTTGAGATTGTCGTTCGTACCTCGACGGGCATATTGTTGTCGTAAATATAATGAAAGTACTGCTCCGATAGCTTGAAATATTCCAGATCGATTAAATACCTCGATTTACAATATAACATATTTGTTTTTTTTTGCTTATGCTAATCAACAAAACACTCGTAGAAGTAAAGCAAAATCATGAAATTCTTTTTTTCTTAAATTGACAACTTTGACATCGACATATTCGATTGTTAATAATAATTGACTATAATAAAATAAAACGTCCAAAAAAATTTATTTATCAATAAGAATTCAACATCAATGATCAAATGTACTGAGAATAATGAAAAAATTTTTTGTACAGGTCATGCGCCATGTGTTTATCGTCAAACAAAAGCTAACATTGTTTTTCTTTTTCTTTCTCTCTCGTCGTATCGTAAACACAAAAAAAGGGGTTAAATTACACACATTCCTGTTAAAGAGTAGGTGGTAAAAGGTGTATGAAAAAGAAACCATTTTATTAACTTGCTACTATGGACTTTTTTACATTTAGTAAATTGCTCGCGAATTGCGCATAAAAATAAAACGTGCATGTGACACAGTTGAAAAACACTTGTCAGATGATTATAATTCATATTTAGCTTAACTTTTGAAAAGGTCTACTGATAAATTAATGAATAGTTTGTTATTGATGATTAGATAATCAGAATACAATAGAGATCATGATATTTGATACCTGCTGTGTGATCTATATGTCAGATGTATGATAGTGAATGGTATGACTTTATTAATGATACTGTACATATGAGATAAAATCATCGAGTTGTAAAAATATGTCACTAGAGATTTTTATGATTATGTATAATTGTTGATAATCAATTCTTGAGATTGATTTATAATTTCTTTGATAAGAATTGACAAATATTTCTTCATTAAAAGTCAATTTCATCCGATAATCTTTTTTTTTGTCTTGAATTGATTGAATTTGATTTAAAAAAATATATTTTAAAGTACATCTACGACCTATTCAGGAAAATAGTACATTGAGGATGGTCATGAATATTGGCTTTAAACAAATATACAATGATCAAATTTCTATCATAGATTTCATATTAATCTCGTCGTTACTCATTCTTTTTTTCAAATGAAATGAGATATTAACACTCATATTATATATCAATATTTCATTGCTACGACTGATATTGTCGTCCTATTTTCATAGTTGATATTAGCAAATAATAACTTAAGTTTGCTAAAATATTAATCTCATCTAGACTATAAAAGCAGCATTCGATTTTACACTAAATGCCATTTATCAAAACGATAAAAAAAATAAGACTTATACAATGATAAATCTTAAAAGTATGATTGCTATCGCCATTACATTACTTTTACAATTGTCCTTTATTCATGGACAAAGTTCATGTACACCAGCAGCAATAGCAGCCTGTGGTACAAATCCATGCGTTCAAACAGGCACTGCTTTCTCATGTCTTTGTCCAGACATGACATTACAACAAACAGCAGCAGCATGTGGTACCACTGCAACTACTGCAGCTCCAGTTGTTATACCAAATCAATGTGCAAATGCTGTATGTCCAGCTGGTGCTTCATGTATACCAACAAATCAAAATCCAGCTGCTTATGTATGTATTTGTCCAAATAATGTTCTTGCAAATCCTGACTGTCCAACAAACTTACCAGCAAATAATCCATGTGCAGTTAGTAATCCATGCTCCAGCGGTGGAACATGTGTTATTAACCCATTGAGTGGTACAGCAGTTTGTGTTTGCCCCAATGGAACTTATGGGCCCAAATGTGGTTATGGATGTCGACCAAAATGTGATTCAGATTGGTAAGATCATTTGAGAAGAAAAAAGAGAGTTTTGTTTTTTAAAAAATATTCTTTTTATTTTATATAAAAGGTGTTATAATGGTGGTCGGTGTACTAATGCATATGGTCAAGCATACTGTGCCTGTGGAAAAAATTTCCGTGGTCGACGATGTGAACTTCAAAATAATAAACATAACTATGTTTATTTACATCATAATCCACATCATTAAAAAGTTAAATTTCGTTGACAATCAAAAAAAAATAATTTTAAATTATGATTCAATGAATGAAATAATAAAAATATAATCAATAAAATACATCTAACGATATATTTTAATCAGAAAACTGTGATTTATCCATTCCAAAAGAGATAATATAGTATTAGGAAGAGAATTTTTGTTTATTGATATAATGATTAAGAATAACAAGTTCTTCAGAAACTCGATATGAATATGTTTTGATTATAAACATACTCAAACAAGAATCATGTAAACTATTCTATAAATAACAGATTCATTTTTCCTTAATGATATAGTCATATATAGTGCTTTAGACATTTCGTTGTCGATGAATCGTACATCATAACTACAATTTATTTGTTTTACTATTGAAGGTATTCATTATTATATAATTGGGAGGTATTTGTCCTTCAGTAGAATAAATGTCCACTATAAAAAAAAATCGTTTGTTCTTTTGGTAAACAAATTTATATTGTCATTCTTTATAAACATAATCATGGCAAATGCGTCTGTAATAGACGAAATAAATCTTGAAGATTATATTCTAATATGGCTTGATATTTCATCGAGTATTCAGCAATCATTTCGAACATTAATTAATCATTTTAAAATATTTGAAGATATTAATCAATGTGAAAAATATATTCAATCATTGTCAATTGATGATCGAATTATTTTAGTTGTTAATGATTGTAATGATCAAGAATTAATAAATCATATTCATCAATTTCGACAAGTTTATTCGATATATATTTATTCTAAAACTAATCAACAATGGATCAAACAATTTCCTAAAGTAAAATCGGTCAAATTTTTTGACAAATTGCAGTTTATAACTGCGTGCTTTTTTTTTCTTGAGCATCACCAGTCGACTCAGCACAGTTCAGAGTATCTATTAGAGCAGTCAAAAACAGATGATTACAGTTTTCAGCAGTGGCGGCGCGAGCGGGAGGAATTAGGGATGGCACCCCCCCCTGCTTTTGGAAAAAAGACTGAATTTTCTCTGATTTTTGGATTTGCTTTCTCCGATTTTTGAGTTGACTTTCTCGTTTGGGACCCATTTATTTTCTCCTTTTTTTTGCCATTTTGGATTTGAAAACCGGGGAAAGGTCTGTAGAATCCCGTAAAACCTAAACCAAAAACCTCTCTTTTTTTTTGGTCATCAGTTTCGGCTTCTGGATTGTTTAGCCGAAAATCTTTTTTTTTCTTTCTCACGTTTTGTGATTACCCCCTCCTGCTTTTAGCTCTTCGCGCCGCCTCTGGTCTTCAGGTAGAGTTTTTCGCGACAAGTTAGACATCCGTAAACTTTAAATTTGGAGCACACTTAGCTTGACCAGTAAAATCATACGTTTGAAATAAAAATTTGTTTAGATCAAAGGTATTGTACCAGAATTGAATGAATTACTTGCTCGAATTCATAAAGATCATGAAACATTATCAATCAATATATTTCAAACAAATATTCCAGATGAATTTTCTACAACTGGACTTAATGGTCAATTTCTTTATTTTCAATTATTAATTTACGTTCTTCTTCGTTTAAAATCTAATTTGCAAGATACTAAAAATGAATTTATTTTATTCTGTGAGAATGAATATAAAGATAATATAAATGAATTAAGAATTATTGATGAATTTAAAGAAAATTATTCATCAAAAAAAGCTATTTGGTGGTATACAAGAGAATCATTTCTATATAAAATATTAAATAAAGCACTTCGAATACAAAATATTGATTTATTATTTCTTTTCCGTTTTTTTATTCATGATATTGAAAAACAACTTCGATTAAATCAATGTACATCATTTATTCGTGTTTATCGAAGTCAATTAATATCAAAGTATGAATTCGATCTATTAAAAAATTCAATTGGGCAATACATTTCAATGAATTCATTTATTTCAACAAGTCTTAATCGTGAGCAAGCTCTTTCATTTCTTCATCCAACAAATAATGATTTTCAACAAATTCTTTTTGAAATTAATGCTGATCCATCATTAGATAATATTCAACCATTTAGTAATATTACAAATTTAAGTTATTTTTCTAATGAAGAAGAAATATTATTTATGTTAGGATCAATTTTTCGTATTATTAATATTGATCGAGATAAGAAGAAGAAGAATATATGGGTTGTACAAATGAATTTATGTAGTAATAATGAATCTAATTTAAAATCTATATTTGAACATATGAAAAAACAATATGGTGACGGACAAACAAATCTTCTTTCATTTGGAAAAATTCTTTGGACAATGGGAAAATATAATGAAGCCGAAAAATATTTTTTTCGTCTATTAAATGAATTACCCAATGATCATGAATATATCAGTTATTGTTATCGAGCACTTGGAAATGTTGCTGATGATAAAGGTGATTATGATACAAGTTTAAAATGGCATTTAAAAGCAATTGATCAAATGACTAAAACATCGGAAATAAATAATTCACTTCTAGGTGAAAGTTATAATGGTATTGGTTGTGTTTATGATGCTAAAGGTGAATATGAACATGCACTTGAATTTTATAAAAAAGCATATCGTATTTGGAAAGAAATCTATGGTGAAGATCATTTAAATATAGCCGTATGTTTAAATAATATTGCTTGTATTTATGCAGAAAGAAAACAATATTCTAAAGCATTACAATATTATCAAAATGTATTAACTATTCGTCAAAAACATCTTCCAACAAATCATTCGGATATAGGTGCAGCTTATAACAATATTGGTGAAATATATCGATGTCTTGGTGAATATGATTTAGCATTAAAATATTTAAATTTATCTATTGAAATTTATCATTTAACACTTCCTTTACAACATCCTGATCAAGCTGAAGTTTTAATGAATATTGGTCTTGTTTATCAAAATCAAAATCATAAAAATCAAGCATTAGATTATTATGAAAAAGCATCAAAGATTTATCATAAAATATATTTACCAACACATTCTTATGTGAGAAAAATCGATGAATTAATTGAAAATATTCGTTCTTTATAATTACCGGTTATATGAAAGTTTCTTTATATTTTTTGTTTAAATAAAGATAAAGGAAAACACACAAAAAAAAATAATAATCTAGGAAAAGAAAATCACTGTTTGGAATTTATTTCTTACTGTTTTTCACTAAGGAAACAACTTTTTGAGCAGCTTTTTCAAAATCATTTTCAGCTGTAATTGGAAATGAACTTTGATTAAGTATACGACGTGCTTCATCCATATTTGTACCTTGAAGACGAACAACAAGTGGAATGTTTAAACCAAGTTTTTTACAAGCTTTTTCAATTCCATTGGCAATTATAGCGCAATTAACAATACCACCAAAGATATTAACAAGTACAGCTTTGACCTAAAATTTATTTGATATGAAAATAAAATAAAACAATAGAATATTTACTTGAGTATCAGCAAAAAGAATTTTAAAAGCATCAAGTACTTGTTCTTCTTTTACACCACCGCCAACATCAAGAAAATTAGCTGGTTGTCCACCATGTAATTTAATAATATCCATTGTAGCCATAGCTAAACCAGCACCATTAACTATTCGAATGAAAAGGAAAAGATAAATAGCATAGAAAGTTTATTTAATTTACCAAGACAACCAATATTTCCTTGTAAACCAATATAATTTAATCCAGCACGTGTTGCTTCTACTTCACGTTGATCACTTTCAGCAGTATCTTCCTGATCGAAAATATTTGCTTGACGAAATTTTGCATTATCATCAAAACTTAATTTTGCATCGAAATTAATTACTCGTTTATCTGGTGTTTCACCAAAAGGATTAATTTCTAAATAAAATCAATTAATGTATATATATTAATTTCAAGTAAAGCTCGTTCTCGTAGAAATGGTATTCTCCAATGTTACGGGACCTTTTGCTTATATAACTTGCAAAAACTAACATCAGATTCGAAGTCCCCGCATTGAAATACCTCTGGAAATGTCCTTTCTGAAAAATCAGTTTCGATGTTTTTTTGACCCTGCGAGCAAACAATTTATTTCTGTTGGGCTCTTCTCTACGAAAAAGAGAATATATTTAAATTTACCTATTTGTGTACAATCATATTTTAAAAATAGTTTATATAACTTAAGAATTTGATCAGCTGCCTAAAACAAGAAGAATACTTTTTATCTTAAATCAATATACAAAATCTACAAACTTCATCAGCTAATTTATCTTTAAATCCAAGTTTTTTTGCCATATCTAAAGCTTGTTCTTTCTTCATGCCAGTTACGGGATCAATTGCTGTCTAAATTTTTACAATAAATTATTTCATGATTTTAACAAACTAGAAAATTTTTACTGTGAAAATTTGATCCGGATGTTTTTCTGCAACTTCTTCAATATCAACACCACCCATTGGTGAACCCATTAATACAGCACCACCATAAGCACGATCAAGTAAAATAGCTAAATAGGTTTCACGTGCAATATCTAATGCTTCAGCAACCATCACCTTTTGTACTACAACACCTTCCGGTGGTGTTTGTTTTGTAACAAGACGAAAGTTAACCATTTGTTTTACAAGATTACCACATTCAACCGGGCTGTATGAAAATTTATAAAAATTAGAAAATTTTTGAAATTAAATTAAACTTACTCTTTTGTAAGTTTAACACCACCTTTTAATCCACTATCAAATGTACCTTTACCACGGCCACCAGCTAAAACTTGTGCTTTAATAACTAATTCTTTAGCAATTGTTTTCACTAAAATAAATAACATACTTTTTTTACTAAAAACTATGAATTAAAATAATGAAATTTTTACTTAATTCTTCTCCAGCTCGTTTAGCATCTTGTGGATTGTCAACAACTTGGAAACGTTGAACATTAAGATGGTTTTCATCTAAAATTTTTTTGCTTTGATATTCGTGTAAACTAATCCAACGACGAGACTTTAATGAAAGAAACGAAAAAATATATATAAAGATTTTGTTTTTATTTCTACCTGATATGATGTATATATAGCTGGATTTTGACGGGTAGCAGAATAACATAAACGAAGTACTGCTTGAGATTTCATTTTATTTTTCTCAACAAAAATAAATGTAAAAAGTGATTTTTTTGACCTAAAAATAACAACATTCGATTGATTGGTAGAGTGAAATAAAAACTTATTTTTTAGACAAAAATTTATTTTCAATATAAAATGAAAATAAAACATTTACTAATAATATAACAATTTTATTTAAAGTGAATTTATTTTATAGTGACATCTATATATCAGTTACTACGTAACGAAAATAACGAAATTTTTTCATGCACGTTCGATAAGTCATATATATAGAGAAGAGAACGATGGCTGGAAGCAATCGTGGACGTGCACCAGGTGATTATATTAGTTTGCCACCGAATGCAGCTGCACATGTTGATGCATATTTCGAATATCGAGCGTAAGAATTAAACAATGAATCAGATTAATTATTATTATTTATTAATTTTTTTCAAGTATTGTTGGTGATGATGATGGTGGAAACTTATTTTCACCAGAAGAATATGACGCATATAAAAGACGAGTTTTACCAATGGTATGAATTTTTTTGTTTTTATATTCAATTAGATATTATATTACACGAAAAAAAAAAGAATAAATATTTGTTGAAAAATATTTTATTACAATGTAAAAATAAAAATAATTTAAATTTTTTAAGCGATTACACAATCGATTATATGTATCATGGGTAAATCCTCAAGGAATGGATTGTATTCTTGTTGGACCACAGCATAAATGTCTTTGTCGACATAAGTAAACTAAATAAAAAAAGAAACACTATCACTAACGATTTCTTTTATTTTAATGAAGATTTTCTGAACATAAAACTGATTTCGCTGATATTCCAACTGAACGACCCATTCTTATTTCATGTCGACAAGCTGGTTGCCGTTGTGTATCATTTGAATATGTTGCAAATGCATCTGGTACAAGTGATCCTAATTGCCGCTGTAAACATTCACTTGATACTCATGGAACACGACCACCTTATACATGTCAAAAAAGTATTGTTAGTCACTCTACAAAACAAAACAAAATACTAGTTTTTAATCGACATTTAGATTGTAATTGTAGTGGATTTCGTGCACCATTTACATGTACATGTGGTGAACCGGCTTATAAACATATAACATTAGTTGAAACGAAACAAGAAAGAGAACAACGTGGTCATCCAACTGGATATGCAACACCCTATAAAGCGATGGGTGGTTTAACAGGATTTAGTTCGTTAGCTGAAGGATATCTAAGACTTGATCCTAGTGGACGAGGTTAGAACGAGAAAAGATATTTTATTATAATTTAAATATTTAATCTATAAATAGGTCGACCTGATGATGATTTTCTCAATCAACCAATAACTGCTATGGATCATCCAATTCTTCGTGCACATGCATCTCTTGATCCAAATAGTAAATATGATTTTTTTTCATAGATAATTTTTATTGTTTTTATAAAAGGTGCTGAAGCACAATCACAATTACGTCGTCCTGGTGAATCAGAATTAGATTATTATGAACGTCGTTATCAAGAACGAGTAAACTATATATAGAATACTTTTTTATTGCTATTTAATTCTTTCTTTTTTAGCAACGTCTTTCACGTGGTATACGTGCAGCACCTAATCCTTATGATACGAATGCTCAGTTGACTACTGGTATTCGAAATAATAAATCACCACCATGTCGAATAACTGGTGGCAAAAAATAAGATATATTATTTCGAAGGGGAAAATTGGGGTGCTTTTATATATTATTTTTGGGTCTATAAAATATAAGATAAATAAACCGGTGAAGAAAAACATTTCTCATTGAGATTATTTGTTAATGATACTTAAAGTTCAGTTATTAACTAATTGAGATACATAGTTTTGTTTCATGACTAAATACAAATCAGGTTTATTTATGAATTCAAAAACAAACAAACAATATACCTGAACACCGGTCATTATGCAAAAGACAATATAATGTTGTTGGAACATACAAAATTCTCAAAGAAAACAAAAAAAGGAAAGGGAAGAGAAGAAAAAATATATAGATGACATGTTTATAACAATTCTGTCTTATGATACGTCTGAAATAATGTTTTCAGTTCATCGTTATTTGTAATACACTTGAATTTCGAGATATATGCTAGCTTTCATGGTGTGGGTGTAGAGGTGGGTATGGCTATGAATACTGTATTCGCGTAGCACCGACACTCATACCCACATTCGCACCCGATATCTTAAAATATACTCAAAACGACAGATTCATTAACACAATATATTTTAATTGAAGCATTGCTTTATGTCGAATTCACCTAAGAATATATGAGATACACGACAGATAGATGAAAATAGTGGAGTAACAGGTTCCTGAATTTAACGATACGACATTGTATTGAGACTTGAATAAAATAACTCATAGTTTTTATTTTAAAATCGATTATTCGAATAAATATCATCAAGAAAATAAATAATGTAGAAAAAGAGTCAATAAGCGTTCGAATAAATAATTCAATATCTTCGAATTATGCTGAAAATCAGAAAACAACTCATTTATTCAAAAAAGAGTTAATAACGTCAAATGCAAGACTAATGAACATTTAACTATTTCTAAAGATCTTTACATAATATTACGAAAGTTAAAATAATTATTCAAAACTAAATAAATCAGTAAAAGAAATTTAAGACGAGCTCTAAGCAAGTCACATCTTAAAGTCGCAAAAAAACTAGTAGAATTAAATAAATAGAAATGTATATGATTAATCTTTTGTAATTTTACATCAAAACAAAAAATTGTTTTTCTTCAACTCTTTCAAGACTGAATTTTGAGTATAGTTTATACAAAAGCTTTAACAAAGCAAGAAAAATGAAATAAATCTTTTCTTCCTATAATACATAAATGATGGTAATACGTCAGAACACTTTCTTGGCGATTGAAATTGTTTTGTGGAACGAGAATAGAAATACAGTATGCATGTATAATGAGAAACTGATAAAGGCAGTAAAGTTAGACTCGTATCACCTCCATTATTGGCATACATATCCTTTGATATATTTTTCTTTAATTTCATTTGTCATTGTCGTCATCTGATCTGTAAAATAACTCATATTTATCAAAAGACTACTAAAAATTTTGAAGAAAAGTATTCCAGTAATATTCATCAATATGCGTCATACATTTACATATATAGATCGTTCTTTTTTTCTTTCCAAGAGTATCGTTTGAATTCTCTTATTCTCTCTTATCTTACTTATTACACAGTTAAAAAAGAAAATATACACCATTATTTTCTCTGTTTTTTAACTGTAACAGCGGGAAATGAACACGGTTCATGCACTATTATCGTGCTTCCTATCACAATCGATTTTTTCAATTGATTAAAACTCACTAACCAAAAACAAAAAAAATGGGATATATATGTTTCACTGACTTTGAAAAAGTGTGCATATTATTTTAATGTTTTTACACATAACAGATGACGAAAGATTTAGAAAATGTCTTGAGGATGTGAATATTCGATAAATAAAATACTTACACTCACACCCTCAAGTTTCATTGAGTCAGAATAAAACAAGGATGAGTTAAGATGTAAATGTTTTGTTGATCTTACATCCGTGTTTTCAAATACTCGAATTATAAAATTTTAAACGTTGAAGATAATTAATAAGCTTTTAATTATTAAAATAATTATAAAATATTTAATGTTATTGTTCAGTGAAAAGATATAGAATTTACTAGAACACTCACACATATTTATAATGCTGTAACTTGAAAAATATGATAAAAGTGCTTTAAATATTGATACTGTATTTTCTGTAACAAAACATAATACAGATGTGTTTCCTATAGGAACTACGCATTTCCTGTCTGATTTTGCAGTTTAGTTCGATGAATATCATGTTTTTTTTATTCAGATAAATATACAATAATATTGATATTGTTACTTTTCATTTCCTTGTTTTATGTTAATGATAAAATCAAAAAATATCAGTATTTATTTAGTTTTATGTAATACTCTCTGAATATATATATATATATATGAGAACATATACTAAAATCTTTATGTTCTTTTTCTAGTTTCACAATTTTTACAACTGATCTATAAAAACACTACTATCATAATAATAATTAGGTTTTATATTCCTAAAGTTATTATGATGCACTGGCGATTGTTATATTTTATTATATTATTATCGACGATAATAATTAAATCGAATGCATCATTTCTGTATAATACAAATGATAGTTCAAAAACAATTTTCGATTGTTTTGATTCGTATATAATTGATACTCGTGATCCATATGAACACGTTTCATTTCGAGCAAATCATCTAATACCTTATTGTCGACGTCCATTATCAACTGATCCTATTAATAAAATACAAGGATATATAGAAAATACATACACATTTAAAAATTTAAGTTTACAAGGAATTACGAGTGAAAATCTTCGTCAATGGTCAATATCAATCGATATAATTGAACAATATTCTATATATCTCATTAAAAATAAAACAGAATTTGATGAATTTATTTTTAATAATTGTTCATCATTATGGTTTGGTTCGAATTGTCAATATACATTTAATTTAAGTATGTCCATTGAATCATTTGGGGATTTCGTAAATTCTTCATTTGAAGCTCGTAGAGACTATCTGGGAGAAATTTTAATACATACTTGTTATCCTCATTTATCTGAATGTTATCGTGGTCTTGAACCGATGTGTTTAGATTGGCGTGAAATATGTGATGGAAAAATCGATTGTATTGGAGATAAATTTGGTATAGATGAAGAATATTGTAATGAACTTGAAATAAATGAATGTAAAGAAGATGAATATCGATGCCATAATGGAGCACAATGTATTCCGTTCGAATTCTTTCGTGATGATCACCAAAGTATAGATTGTTTGGATGGAACAGATGAAGCTGAATCTTTTCAAGTGTCAGGTCTTACGATTATAAAAGATCCTACAGAATGCATCAGTTCAATGCTATTCGCTTGTGAAGAAAGAGCATGTCGTCAACCACATGTATTTTCATGTGGCGATGGAAGTCGCTCATCACTTTATCCTGTTTTCAATCTTGTCAATGATAACCGAGATGCTTGTTTCAGTACAGGTCGTGCTGCCTACTATCGTCAAGAAATTCATAAATCCGCCAAACGATATCCGAATGATTGTTATTTTTTATTATTTTGTAAACTCGGTTTTTATAAGATTCTTCGAAATGATACATACAATGAAACAGATTGTTCACGTGCAAATTGGTCATCAATAGATTGTACATTAGAATATCTTTCATTTCCTCTTGAACCTATTTTCAATGGTTATTTTCAACCTCTTTATTCAAAACAAAATTTGATCAAGAGTGATAATGATGATGGATGGCCAACATACATCTGTACTGATACACGATTGTGTTTATACTTGCCAAAAACAACACCTCCTGTCAATGGTTTAGATTGTCGTCCAGCTCCTAGATATGAATATCGTGGTCCGAGTTTGTCATCTAGATTGCGTAATAATACTGAGATTTGTGCATTAATGGGAAATATTAATAAATATGAATCAAATTCATCTTTATTCTATTGTGAAAAATCTGATAAATATATATCGAAGCATCGTCTCGTTGATGGTACTCAGGATTGTAATTACAATGAAGATGAAAATTATACAAATAGTTGTTCATTAAATGATACTCAACGTTTTAATTGTACATCAGAAACGAAATGTTTATCACCTATAGGTATTGGTTACGATAAACCTAAATGCAAAAATGACGAAGATAATAAAATTGACAGTCAAGAAATAGTTGTATATTCACGTCTTTGCAATGGTCTAAATTCTCTTGGTGGAGAATTACCACCCGAAGATGATGGTGAAAACGATGAAACCAATTGTGAATGGTGGCCCTGTCATACTCCGTACACTCGATGTGATAATATTTTTCAATGTGCTAATGGTATCGATGAATTAAATTGTCCAAATGTTAATTGTAGTATCAATGAATTTAAATGTCAAATTAATTATTCATCTGATAATTATTATTGTGTTCCTCAAAAATATATATATGAAAAACCAATCGATTGTATTAGTCATGGTCTACAGCGAAATGTATTTTACTCGAATAATTTAACTTTTAATATTAATCAAGAATATATATCATGGAAAGAAAAGACTTGTTTAACCAAAAATGATATTTGTGGTTACTCATCAACTAATGATCAACAATTGATATGTAATATTGTTCAAAAAGAAGATATTCTTCTTAACTCTGAATTCTCAATATATTTGTATGGTAATGAAACATCATGTGACATAGGTCAGGGTGGACGTCGCCGTGTTTCTTATTATTTTCGTACATGGAATTTGGGCTATTTACCACCAATAATAAACGAAACATCATTAGCATCTCAACAGTTTACCAATATCAAGCCGAAAAAATCTCTCGAAATCAATACTAGTATTGAATTAATCGAATATTGTAATCGTGGAATTGTTATATTCGAAGGAAAATCTTATGAAAAGAAATGTTTATGTCCACCAAGTTATTTTGGTGAGAGATGCCAATGGCAAAATCAACGGATTAGTTTAACACTTCAGATACGTCCAGTAGGTTCACATGAGAATAAAATTTCTATTTATGACATATTTATTTATTTAATTGATAATGAAAATCAAATAATACATAATTATGAAAAAATTAATTATATGACATCAAAAGATTGTAATACAAAATATAATCGTTATTTACTTTATCCTGATCAACCAAAAAAATATCAATCATACATATTCAATACGCATTGATATTTATGAAAAATTAACATCAAAATATTATTCAAGTTGGTATTTATTTATTCCATTTCCATTTTTACCAGTCAATCGTATATCAACACAAATTCGCATTCCATCAGAAAAATCTCAACTATCAATAAATTGTTCAATTCAATGTGGAACAAATGGAAAATGTTTTAAATATTTTAACTCAGAACAAGAATTTTGTCATTGTGATCAAGGTTATTCAGGTCGTTATTGTAATATAACATATAACTGTTCATGTTCATCGGATTCAATTTGTTTAAATTCATCAATTTGTTTATGTCCATTAAATAAATTTGGTTCGAAATGTTATTTACAATATACAACTTGTCAATCGAATAATAATTCATGTCAAAATAATGGTAAATGTATACCTTATAATAATCATATAAATTACGATGATTTTATTTGTTTATGTCCTGAAAGTTTTACTGGATCTCATTGTGAATATCATTCAAATAAAATTGATATTAATTTTAAAATCGATTCAATCCCATTATCAATCATTGCCCATTATATAATTTCATATACTGATAAAAGACATGAAAGAAAAACAATGTTTAAGAAAATTCCACTCGATCAATATTCAATTGAATTATTTTATACAACTCCATTTAATTTATTATTTATTGAAATTTCAAATAATTATTATCTTACTGTAATAAGAGAAGAATCAATTAGATCGGAATATATTTCTACTAATATAAATCAAGATTATAAGTGTGAATATATAGATAAACTTTTAAATTCAACCATACTTAATTATAAAAATCTTCGTCGATTAAAATATTATCAATTACCATGTATAGAAAATCTCAAATTAAAATGTTTTTATGATGAGAAATACATGTGTGTTTGTGATAAAAGTCGATATTCAAATTGTTTCGATTTTGAACATAATATGTCTTACAATTGTCAAGGTCATAGTTATTGTGGAGACAATGGCAGATGTTTTCAAGATAATATAACTTGCCCATCAACTTCAGCATGTATATGTGATAAATGTTATTATGGAAGTAAATGTCAATTTAATAGCATAGGTTTTAGTACATCACTTGATGTTATATTTGGATATCATATTAAACCATTTATTTCATTTACAAAACAATCCAGCGCCGTGAAAATAACAGCATCAATCACAATTCTCATGTTAATATTTAGTCTTATTAATGGATTATTATCTACATTAACTTTTAAAAGTGAATCTTTACTTAAAGTAGGTTGTGGAATATATTTATTAACAAATTCAATTATATCAATATTAACAATAACTGTATTTACAATAAAATATTTTCAACTTATTATATTTCAAATGAAATCTATAACAAATACATCATTTATTCATTTTAGTTGTATATTAACAGATGTATTATTAAAAATTCTTCTTAGTTTTGGTGATTGGTTATATGCATGTGTAGCTATGGAAAGAACATTAGCTGCTACACAAGGCATACATTTTAATCAGTCAAAAAGTAAATATATAGCTAAATATGTTATGCCGATACTATTATTATTAATAAGTATATCTTATATTCATGATCCAATATCTCGTCGAACAATTGATGATATTGATGATGAACAAAGAACATGGTGTATTCTTGAATATTCAACAAACATTAAAAAATATGATAAATTTATAAATATATTTCATGTTTTAATACCATTTATAATTAATATATTATCTGCTATATGTATTACTATTCAAGTATTTCGAATACGTGTAAAAACAAAGAAAAAATCAGCATATAAAAAAATTCTTTTTGCTCAAATTAAACAAAATAAACATCTTCTTATATCATCATGTATTCTAATATTATTATCTATTCCTCGTTTAATTATTTCATTTCTATCTGGATGTATGGATTCAATACGTAATCCATGGTTATATTTAATTGGATATTATATTTCATTTATTCCACCATTACTTATTATTATTTTATTTATTTTACCTTCAAAAACATACAAACAGGAATTTATGTCTATTATAGAAAAAATAAATTTTTTCTCAAAATAAAAATAACATGTTTTTTATTTATTATCTATATTATCTTTTCATCAGAAATTTTTTTTATTAACTTAAGAGGAACCTCTGACCATGTCGATTCTAAAGAAACAATTGAGCTAACAAACTTGAAGCAGCTTGTGAAAGTAAGAGAAAGATTCAGCGGATTGCACTAAGCTAGCAGACAGACATGCTCTGTTTGAATCACACATGGAGAGAAGGAAAAGCAAGCAAGAAGAGGAGAAGTCCGGTTATCAAGCATTACTCATTTGAAGTTGTTATTGTTCTTTTTCCTTTTTTTTTCTCTTATTTTCATAGTCACCATTCTTCTCTTCCTTCTTCGGCTCTCATCTTTTTTTTTTGTCAACATGACCTTCCAAAGTAATATCGCTCGGATACTTAAAACTTTCTGGAAATTGAGCGAAGCATGTTAGTTCTTCTTCATTACATACTGCTACTGGATCTGAAGTACCGTGAGATGTCATCCAATCGAGCACTTTTCCTGATACATCAACATGACGTACAAATCTTCTCAATCTATATGGACACTGTATACGTTTCCTCATTTCACCATAAAGTTCGATTACAAACGTACAAAATATATTCTTTAAATCAATAGTTGAATGTACTCATGTTAATATTATTAACTTTTACTCTTTTCTTTTGAATAAAATAAATTTGAATTTGATAAATTCTATAAGTACTTGATTAATAATGGATAGACTACTGATTGATGTTCAAACGAAGATATGATATATAAGTGAATTGTTATTACGGTTAGTGGTTATTAACAGTTGAATTTCAGTATAGACACACATAAGAGATAAACAAGATACTCTATCTCATACTCAAAGTCATTTATTCTATCAAAGTGAATTATTTCTCTTTTATGGATAGTGATAAAAGAAATTTGTACTAATTTTGCAGGAACTATTCTCTACTTGCAATAGTATTCTATCATCCGTTTGTGTATAATTATTTTTTTCCAGACATAACTCATCTTGACAATATGAATAAGAATATCCCGTTGTTCATATTTATCATTATTAAAAATAAAGAAGACAGGAGAAAACAATAGTAATAGATTTGTTCATCTATTAAGTGATGAATAGAAATCAACAAATTCAGTTTAAGTTTGAATCAAAACAAATCTTGAAAATACTTTCTGATCTAATCTGAATAGCAATACAGTCGGCTACGATCGTATAAATTTAGTCGCAAATATCCTATGTACGATATGACATAATAACTATACTCATAAAATATCATTATAAGTTATAGTTAAATACAATTGATACTTAGATCTATATCGACTGTAAAAGCGTTGTGTCTCAATTGTATACGATCTATAACAGGCAATTGTAATTATCAATGAAAATATCTTCAGAGATTCTAGACATATTAAGAGAAAAATAAATTAGAAGAATTCAATTATACAATGATTTATTTTTAAATAAGATGAAAAGAAAAAAAAGAAAAAAATGACAAAAAAAGCAGATTGTTTCATTAAAACTCATTTGATTACAAATAATAATTTTAGTTAACATCAACATTAAATTTCACTATTCGATACCCGAAATGATCAACGACATATAGATTCCCTTTTCGATCTAATGATATAGCTGTGGGACTACTGAACAGCTGTGGTGGTTGTGCGAGACTTCCTCCATTTATAATAATGTAACCTTCTTTAGACGTTTCTGACCAGCGCACTATTCGATTATTTTTATATTCTGATACGTATACATTACCAAAATGATCGACAGCCATTCCGTACGAATCAGCCGATTGGGATTCATCATTTTCTGAAATTGATTCATTAGTAATAATAATTCCTTCTTTTGCATTTTTTATCCATTTTGTCACACGACCAGATTCATCATCAGATACATAAATCGAATATTGTTTATCAACAAAAATATAAGCAGGATTATTTAATTGATTCGGCTCACATCCACGCCCATTTCCACCGGCTACAATTGTTCCTTCTGCTTCTCCTTGTTTCAATTGTTTAACACTATGTGTTTCTCCTTCTGAAACATAAATATCTCCGTTATTATCGGCTGTTACACCTTGACATTTAATTTTGTCGATAATTATTTTTGGACCTATTTGTTTTTGACGAGACCATTGTACTACACGTTTATTTCCTTTATCACAAATAATGAGTAAATCATTTTTTTTATCAACAGTTACATCCGATGGATTGTTCAATTGATCTAAATTATTTCCTTGTCCTTTTCCACCAGCAACGATTTCACCACCTTTTTCACCAAATTTCCATCCAGCAATCCGATCGGTATTATATGCAGCAATATAAATCGTTTGTTTATCATCGTCAACATAGATTGCTTCAACCATAGTAATCTGATTTACGCCATGTCCAAACACGCCGTCTCCAGCAACAATAGAAAAATTTAATTTCCATTTAAGATAACTATTATTTGAGATAGAAGTAAATGATAATTCTATTGTAAAAATTAAAAAAAACTAATTAAAACAAATATTTATTATACTCAAATAAATTATAGATGTGTTTATCAAACATAGACAAGCGTTCATCTTTACTAACGATTATATCCATCAAAAACTTAAATGAAATATCTCTAAATTTCTCATCATATAAGTGATTTCCTATGGGTAAAACTTGAAGGCTCTGCTAAATTTCATAATTCTTAAAATTCTTGTATCTTGTTATGTTTATAAATAGAACAAAACTATTCCTTTTTTTTCTATGCTGTCAGACAAAATGTATTGTTATTCTATGAAAGTAATGTAAAATAGATTTCGAGTTAAAAAATACGATATAAAAGCTAAAATTCTATCGATTATTCTCTACCATATGTCGAAATTGTACTTCAAGATATATTCTACAATCCGAACTTGAACTATAATTTAACTGAACAACACATGAAACACAGAAACGGATGGTATTGATTTAGTCAATAAATTATCCTTTCCCTACTATTTATCTCACAAAAATTTACCTTCTGTTGTTATTACTGCTGTTGTTGTTGCTGCTGCTGTTATTGCTCCTGCTGCTGCTGTTGTTTCTGTTGTTGTTGCTATTGCCGTTATTTGTGATGTATTTTCCTTTTTTTTTCATTACGATAGGTAATGAAATACTTATTGATAATATAATTAAAATAACAATAACACCAATTGTGATCCATACGAATTTTTTTCTCTTTAGAATATTGATAAATCTAAACAAAAAATGACTTTTATTATTTTTTTAGAATTCGAAATTTACATACGATATTCTTGATTGATCAGTTGATGTTGGGGTTATCTCATCATTAATCGAATGAAACTAAAATAGTCAAAACGAAAATAATATTATCACATTAGAATTTTCTTTGTAAATTACATTATCATTATTTTGCTTTTTATCATTCATAATTGATATTTTAATTGAATATTTATAAATGATAATCTAGAAACGTTTTTCTATTGTAAAAAATGAAAATAATATAAAATAGGTATAATATATAAATAATTCTTGCAATTTATACTCAAATATTTATCCAGAGAAAATAATTTATTTTCTAATGTTTTTATATTAATTTAAGATAATAAATCAACGATATAAAAATATTTTATTTTATATTTTTTTATCCAATAGAAATTTTGTTCAAATACTATTATTATTCTATTCTAGATTAACAATTCTTATCTGGAAAAAACAACATAATAGATAACATTTATTGTTCATGATATTTTATTTCATTAATTCTAAATCTAAATCAAATCAAGTCAAGTTTTATAGGTTAAAATTGGTTGTATTGCTACTGCTAGTCTAGCATCAATCTTTAATTTTGCATTGATTTATTTTAAACTAGAAAAGAGCAGGAAAATATTAGTACATTCTCTCAGATTGTTTATTTCATTAGTCAAGTCAGATACGACATATGTTAATAATATAAAAGATTGAACTTATTTTTTAAACTAAATAAAACAATTCGTTCCAAGATGAATGAAAAACCAGTGTTCAAATTAGATATTGTCGAAACCTTTTAAAATTGATCAAATTTAAATCAATATACTTCTATATTATTTTATAATTAACAATAAAGTGTTTTCTATTCGAATTAGAAGCGTTTATCGATGATTTTCAAGGAGAAGGTAATTAAATATAGAATTTTATAATAAATATCATAGAATAATTCAGTTTATGACAGTTAACCTTAATCTATAATGTCTTATGTAGTTTTCGAAAATCCATATCAATCATTTAACTAACAACAAAATTGATATTGGTACCGATTTTAAAAATAAAGACAAGTGGATATTTCTTCGAACTTAATTAAACACATCAAATTTCTATTTGAGAAGTATGGGACTTATTTTTAATAGTGTTTACTCGTGTTTCTCAGTAATGAATCATATGAAAGAGATAATAAAACATTTGATTTTATTCTAATTTAAAACGATGAAAGTTAAATCTATCCGTATCGATTTAAATAATGATAATCATTAAGACTTGAATATCTACAAATTGTCTATCATGTTGAATTGAAGTAAAAATAAGTTTTGTTTGTCAATTAAATTAATAGAAATATTTCTTATAGTTTTTGAAAACAAAATCATCCTTGAAATAACAATTTCATTGACGTATATTATTGAGTGCATATATTATCAAAAACAAAAATTTACTCGTTGCTCTTTTCAAAATTTGTCTTCAACAAAATAATGCCATATGTGAGTTATCATTTGATGCAAATAGAGAATATAGAAGAAATGTTATACTCTCCTATGTAGAATGCGGAAACCAATATCTTTGACTAATATTGAATGTAATTGATGTTACAAAACATTAGAAATTAATATTTTTATAAGGAAATGCAAAGTTTTATGAGAGGAAAAAGCATTTCATTAAAATAAAGTAATTTCCCATACTTATTTCATATCGGATTTATATGAGTAAAATTAATATTTATTTTCAGGATGATTAATTTTACATTGTTTTCTCAATGAAAAAAAAAGATTCTCATTAGAACTATTTTAAGTATATTATTGAAATGAATTGATCCTAGTGGACGAGGTTAGAAAGAAAAAAGATATTTTTATAATTTAAATATCTAATCTATAAATAGGTCGATCTGATGATGATTTTCTTAATCAACCAATAACTGCTATGGATCATCCAATTCTTCGTGCACATGCATCTCTTGATCCTAATAGTAAGTATGATTTTTTTTATTTCATGAACAATTTTATTGTTTTTATAAAAGGTGCTGAAGCACAATCACAATTACGCCGCCTGGTGAATCAGAATTATATTATTATGAACGTCGTTACAAGTCTTTCACGTGATATACGTGCAGCACCTAATCCTTATGATACGAATGCTCAGTTGACTACTGGTATTCGAAATAATAAATCATCACTACGTTGAATAACTGGTGACAAGAAATAAGATATATTATTTATGGGTCTATAAAATATAAGATAAATAAGCCGGTGATAAAAAAATTGAATATCTGATAGTTTTGATATTTATTTAAACTTTCATAATCACTTGTTTTAATTCAAGATCTTATTGTTGTTTGTTTCATTTATACATTTAGCCTTCTACGTAAACAAAAAAATATCTCAAAGGTGTGATTTTTATTTAACAATCAAAACATTGATATTTATTAATACAAAAGCAACGTTTATTTTGATGGAGTTTATGGTATCATCGATACTTACATATCAGTCCTATCATCTTCATACGTAACCTTTATTTTGAACTTACTCCTAAACTCAAACTCTATTAACTACTATTAATTATAAAATCAAAGATTGATATTTTTATGTATAGTTGCCTTATATCATTGATGCATTTAAAAGATGTGAATATTAAAATATGATTTTTATTTTCGTTGTTTCTCTTAAAAAGAAATATACTTATTTAATTAAACAGCGAAGTACCATATTAATGTATCCTTCAAAACTTGATAATTTATTTTAACCTTTTATAGCTCAGATTTTTTTCGTTGTGTGAATTATTGAAATCATATTCTTTTGTAATTTTGCAATAATCAGTTTAATTTCAAAAAAGACAATCAATTATTTCAATATTTTCTATGTTTTCTTTTTGACTTTTATTAAAAAAGAAAACATATTGTAAGTAAAATGTAATAGTAAATCATGATTATCTTTTTTTCTCGTTCTTTTCACTAAAACTATTATGTATGTCATCATCTGACGGACGAAATAGTTGTTTAGACATTCGAGATATCGTACCGAATATATCTTTTTAAAACAAAAGAAGAAAGAAAAGACACAAAGGATATAGATAATAATAGTGTCATGAATAACAAAGATTTCACATACATATCGAAAAGGGAGAGAAAGAGATCACCGTCTATACAAGAATCATGATGGACGTTTATCAGCCTATAAATAACGTGTGTTTGTATTAGTGAAGTATCATACAAAATGTTGTTCAAATTTATTATTCTTTTCGTTACGGTCAATTTACTTGTCGAATTCGGCAATGCTAACAACCTTCGTATTCGTCCACGAAGACCACGACCTCATACAACTACTGAAGATTCCGATGAAGATAAAAAACGTGGTCCAATTGATTGTGCTGCAATTTATCGCGATCAAGAACGCGAAGATTTAGATAGTACCAATGGTGTTTATGAGATATATCCACGAGATATTACATCATTCGAAGTCTTCTGTGATATGGAAAATGATGGCGGTGGTTGGACTTTAATACAACGTCGAGGTGAATTTAGACATCAAGAAGACTTTTATCGAGATTGGAACGAATATAAAAATGGTTTCGGAAATATTACACGTGAATTTTGGTTAGGAAACGATAAAATTTATACCTTAACAAATCAAGATAAATATGATTTACGATTCGATCTTGAAGATTACGAAGGATTAAAACGATTTGCTGTTTATTCTGGTTTTCGTATTGGTGATGAATCAACTGGTTACCAAATGACATACGATGCATTTCTTAAAGGTGATGCTGGTGACTCATTAAGTTCACATAAGGACATGAAATTTACAACTAAAGATCGAGATAATGATTTAAGTACACAATATGGTAACTGTGCTCAAACATATAAAGGTGCTTGGTGGTATAAAGATTGTCATTTGTCAAATCCAAATGGTGAACGAAAGAATAATAAACTTGGTGAAGGATTAGATTGGTATTCATGGCATGGTTATTATTATTCATTAAACAAAATTGAAATCAAAATTCGTCCATCTAACTTCAAAAAATTATAAAATTAAACAATATTTTGTTAAAATAATTTTTTCAAATTATATTATTTTCTTATATAATTTACAAAATATGTTCATTTTTTCATCTAATACAAATAAATATTAATCTAAAGAAAAATATCTAAATGATATTATTTTGTTTTTTTTTGACGAAGAGCATTAGAATGAATAGAAAAAAACAATTTATAATGATTTCGAATTATTGTGTACTAAGAGTATTTATTGTAGAAAAATTTCGCTGGATTTCATCGAATTATTTACTCGTTATGTAATAAATTAAAGATTTTTTGTATACTTATGACATACAATGGTACATATTTATTTTTCTTTTATGTAATCGAAACACATTTGATCAAGTCAAAATATCGTAGTATTATTCATAGTTTTCAGTTGATTGATTGATATATTGATAGCTTGTTTTGTTTATCAAGTATTTTAACAGAAGAAAGGCAGTTTTTTAATACTTAAACATTTGATCATTATATGACTACTCTTATATTAATAGAAGGTAGGAAAATTATTTGTGAATTATACAGATTAAACTAATATGAAAAGGTATTTATAATTAAATGAGCAGACAAATCCATCGATATTTTATTTGAAGTTTAGTTTATTATTTTTAAAAGTTATGACAAGATTATTATTTCTATGTTTTTTTCTTTTCAACAAGGTCATATATTTCCCTGAGGGTGTGAGGTGGGTGGAAGAGATTTGGGTAGGTTATGAGACGATAGACACCCACACCCACACCCTTATTTAACAATCAAAACACTGATATATATTAATACAAAAGCAACGTTTATTTTGATAGAGTTTGTGGTATCATCGATATTTACATATCCATCCTATCATCTTCATATGTAAACTTTATTTTGAACTTACTCCTAAACTCAAGCTCTATTAACTACTATTAATCATAAAATCAAAAGTTGATATTTTTATGTATAGTTGCGTTATATCATTGATACATTTAGAAGATGAGGATATTAAAATTTGATTTTTATTTTCGTTGTTTCTCTTAAAAAGAAATATACTTATTTAATTAAACAGCGACGTACTATATTAATGTATCCTTCAAAACTTTGATAATTTATTTTAACATTTTATAGCTCAGATTTTTTTCGTTGTGTGAATTATTGAAATCTTATTCTTTTGTAGTTTTGTAATAATCAATTTAATTCCAAAAAAGACAATCAATTATTTCAATATCTTCTATGTTTTCTTTTTGACCTTTATTAGAAAAGATTCAGATCAAGATGTAGAAAAGAAAACATATTGTAAGTAAAATGTAATAGTAAATCATTTTTGCCGTTCTTTTCACTAAAGTTATTATTTGTGTTTTCATCTGACGGACGAAATAGCTGTCTAGATATTTGAAGTATCGTATCGAATATATATTGTTAGAATAAAAGAAGAAAGAAAAGACACAAAGGATATAGATAATAATAGTGTCATGAATAACAAAGATTTCAGATACATATCGAAAAGAGAGAGAGAGAGAGAGAGAGAGAGAGATCATCATCTATAGAAGAATCATGATGGACGTTTATCGTCTTATAAATAACGTGTGTTTGTATAAGTAAAGTATCATACAAAATGTTGTTCAAATTTATTATTCTTTTCGTTACAATCAATTTATTTGTCGAATTAGGCAATGCCGCAAGAACAAAACAAACTGCTCGTCATGGCGGTCAAACACCACGAGGACGACACAGAACTGAAGATTCCGATGAAGATAAAAAACGTGATCCAATTGATTGTGCTGCAATTTATCGCAATCGAGAACGTGAAGATTTAGATATTACCAGTGGTGTTTACAAAATATATCCAGAAGATAGTAAACCATTCAAAGTCTTCTGTGATATGAAAACTGATGGCGGTGGCTGGACTGTAATACAACGTCGAGGTGAATTTAGACATCAAGAAAACTTTTATCGAGATTGGATGGATTATAAAAAAGGTTTCGGAGATAATACACGTGAGTTTTGGTTAGGAAACGATAAAATTTATACCTTAACAAATCAAGATAAATATGATTTACGATTCGATCTTGGAGATTACGACGGAGCAAAACGATTTGCTGTCTATTCTGGTTTTCGTATTGATGATGAATCAACTGGTTACCGAATGACATACGATGCATTTCGCAAGGGTAATGCTGGTGACTCATTAACTGGTGATGCAAAAACTAACGTTAATGGCATGAAATTTACAACTAAAGATCGAGATAATGATTTATCACCAGAATGGAACTGTGCTCAACATTTTAAAGGTGGTTGGTGGTATAGACAATGTCATCAAGCAAATCCAAATGGTGAACGAGAGAATAATAAATCTAGTGAAGGAATTAATTGGTTTACATGGCATGGTTATACCTATTCACTAGAGAAAACCGAAATGAAAATTCGTCCATCTAACTTCAAAAAATTTAAAAACTAAACAATATTTTGTTGAAATAATTTTCTTAACTTGTACTATTTTTTCATCTAATAGAAATAAATATTAATCTGTAGTAAAAAAAATCTAAATGATATTATTTTGTGTTTTTGAGGAAAAGCATCAGAATGAACAGAAAAATAATTTATGATGATTTCGAAGTATTCTTTGCTAAAAGTATTTATTATGGTAACAGGAGATTCTCGTATTTTTATGGCATACCTAATATGACATACAACGGTATATATTTCTTTTCTTTAGTGTTATCGAAACACATTTGATCAGCTCAAAATACTTTAGTAGTTATTCGTTCTACACAATAATAAAGTAGAAGTATGAAATTCGTATCTGATTTGGTTAAAAATAAACGTATCATTCATAATTTTCAGTTGATTGATAACTT